TTTCTAGTGGCAGCCGTTCAACGGTGTTGCCGGCGCTGGCAAGGTTTCTGAGAAAACTAGGAAGATAGTGCTGCCTAGGTTTAATCTGTTTCTTTCCTCAAAGCCTTTTCTTTTGATGTCTAGGACTAGAAGTTATACTTTTTAGTAACAAATTTTTTGCCAAGTCTAATGTTGTTTCCTTGGCAAAAATTCTTATTTTCTTAGTGCTTTTTTGAAGTCTTTGCAGTAGAGCAGACACGGGCTGTCCAAAGTAGGTTCATCAAAATGGGTAGGTGTGAGAGGGTGTACATGGAACGGGCACTTACAGAGAGCAGGCATAAATGGTCGAGAGAGAAGGAATAGAGAGGGAGCTGTGAGTGATAATACAGACTGAAAAACTCCATGTTTGTGCCATAACGAGTTCCTTCTGTTAAAGTTTAACCAAAGGAAATTGTTTGTGCTACCTATGGCATTCGTTGCTGCAGGGGTCATACCTTTAAGCTGCTCAGGATTTTTAAAAATACATTGGATGCCACTCTGGGCACTGACTTCTGTGATTTATTTGTTTATCATCTTTAGTCCCAGTAGAGGAGATAAATATTTAATCTCTTAAGGCTGTAGTCTGACTTTCCAGGCTGGTTTTGGCCCTAACTCTTACATCCACTATCCAACTAGTGTTGATAAAGTCATTATGTGAATTCATATAAATAAAAATTTATTTAGGTTTGCTGAAGCATTAGAAAGAAGACAAACGATGGAAAATAAATGGATGGTGTAATAAACTCTTTTAGGGATATAACAGGAAGGTAACTGTTGTGCAATTGGAAAGGAAAATGGCATAACTACAGGCTCAGATGTAAATGGCAGGTCAGTTTGAGGTAATCTGGTAGAATTAATGTGTGCTATGGAATATTTTTACTAACACTTGTAAGTTTTCTTCAGTAATCAAAACCTGTAAAGTCATGGTATAACAATGTAGAAATCTTAACAGGAAGACTCTGGAGTGGCTGGTAGTAATAGGAAACTTTGACAGTATGCTCAAATGTGGTGAAAAGGCAAGTGGAATGGGATATAGTGCTTCTTGACTCTGCAAGAAATAACCAGCAACTGCAACGGGAATCAGCGTCTCCTAAATTTAGTGTAACATTTTTCTGCATATCAGCAAAAATAAATAAAAGGAAGAAAGTTGTCATATGTTATTAGGTTTTCCAAAATCCCTTTGAAATAATTGAAGAAACGAGGCAACAGAAGATGTAAGCAGGATAAGGTTAATATAAAACAGTAGGAATGCATAAATCCATACTGAATGTGACAAATTATTATAGTTCACTGGGTAACTTGTTAGGAGACTACCGCTTTGAATACTGCCTTCATGCATAGTCCTACTTCTCCTTCCATTCTTTTAACATCTCTATGAGATTGGTTAGTTTGCAGAGTGATGCTGGAAATGACCAAATGCATATATTTGCAGTGCAGCATAAAGGAGGACGCTAATTTGATAATGATGATGAGAAAGCACACAAAACTTAAAGGAAAAGCATCAGTCAAAATGATTGTTCAGTTGTACAGGTACAGGCTTGGAGGAGAATGGATTGAGAGCAGCCCTGGGGAGAAGGACTTGGGGGTGTTGGTTGTCGAGAAGCTGAACGTGACCCAGCCATGTGCGCTGACAGCCCAGAAAGCCAACCGTGTCCTGGGCAGTGATCAGAAAAGCAGGGTACTGGGATGATCCCAAGTGTCTCAAAAATGTCAGAATTCTTAAGTAAGGAGATGTGTTCTGACTAATTTTTAGGAGGACAGCTAACACAATTCAGCAATTTTTCACTAATGCAGAAAAAAGCAATAAAGAGTTCTCTCTAGACACGTCTAACGTTTGGAGAAAGAGTGATGAAGGCATTAGGAATTCAACTTGAAATGTGTTTGGTGGAGATCCCCTTCTGGTTGAGCATTCTGCAACTTCATCAATAAGCAACCAACTTCAAGTAATTTCCTCCTGGAGCTTATTCTGCCAGAAAAGATGAACTACCAAACTGAAAACCAGCTGGTGGTTGCTAGCATCCAGCAGCCTCATTTCATTTGTCTTGTGCAAACAGAATATATCATGCCATATATGGGGTCTTGCAGAAACTTGAGATTTAGGGACAAAAAAGTCAAGCCTGCAGACTTTTGGGTTCTTTAACAGCTCCCAGAGCAGGTTGTCCCTGTGTCAGAGCTCCATGAGTGACAAAGGCCGGCGCGTACTGTAGCTGCTGAAATCTGCAGGCTGTGTCATCGCTTCGTTTAACGCAATGACCTCACCGCTGTTGAGCGGCTTCTTAGTAGCTGTTCTCTGTGCTTGCCTCAGTGTTTTGAGCAGAGCCCTGGTATCTGCAGCTCTGTCAAGGGACTCAATGTGCTCATGAGTCACAAAAGAGCTGTGTTCCCGCAGGACTGGCGCTTGCTCTGTATCCCTCGGCTCCTCGCTGGCGGTGGTTGTGTCCCTCTCTGTAAAGCAAGAGTTGTCTTCAGCTGCCCCAAAAGTCAGATTGATGTATTGGACCTCACCAGTAGTGTATGGTGCAGATTAAAAAGTCAGTTTAGAAGTGGTGGGAGTAGTAATGAAAAATAGTGTTGGGAATAAAATGCAATGGGGAAGTGTATGAGTGAGGGGAAAGTTAGGGGAGAGGTCAGCTGTGAACTCCCAAAATTCACTTCTTGAGTTCTGGGTGTTTCTTCTGTGTTCATAAAATGGAAAAAAACCCCACCAAACAAAACAGGAAACCCAAACCAAACAAACCCCCCCCCCCAACTAAACAAAAAACCCAAAACAAATGAAACCCCCCAAAACAAACAAACAAAAACCCCACTCCAACAAAAAACAACAACAAAAGACCAAACAAACCCCAAACCCTTCTCTTCAAAGTGTAAAATGAAGGTAGCTGTAATAATATATTCAGAGGAGATAGAGAAGATGGATAAAAAAATGCAAAAAAAATTATAATGGTAGCTGAAGATGTCAGTGGAATATCCAGAGTTAGAGTTAAATGTTCAGATTAGGACGATTAGAAAGTGTTCAGATGCAGCAGGAGGGAAATTAAAACTTCAGCAGTGTATGTGTCCAGTAATAATCCCAGTACAGACATGTCTGCTGGCTTTAATGTTGGAGGAGACCTCCCGAGTTACTGATTCTGTTCCCTATCTTTTGCTGGCAATTCTGTTGTTTCGTTATTACTGTAAAATTGTTAAGTACTGTTAAAAATTCTTTCAGATCTCCTTTTCAAAGAAATAGGGCAATACAGTTATTTCTTCTGTGAGTAGAAATGGAAAATTAATTTTATAACAGTCAGCAGCAGAGAGGGATGGGGCAGCAACTGTAAAATACTCTCAGGTGTTCAAAGACATAACACCAAACACAGCAAGAGGTGATTTTAGCTGGCACTGTATCTTTTTTTTTTTTTTTTTTTTTGATGGAACATGAGCGAATTTCCAAAAGACTCAAGGTAAACATTATGCTAGTTTTAGAAGTTTAGAATACATGGCATGGTGATTGCAAACTTAGCCCCAGTTTAACTGGAGTGCAGGAGCAGAAGGGTGGGCTGGGTGGGTCTGTGTTGAGTGAGTTCCACCTTCATTACTTGACTGATACTTGCAGCTCTTAGAAAACCTTGGGTCAGGTCAGAAACAAAAGCTAATGCAGAAGGTTGAGCTGTTGACAGGTGAATGTTACTGACAGCATGTGATGCTGCTTTTTTTAGCTGGTGTTTCATGTGCTTGTACTCACTTTAAAAGCACTGTCCTGTGGGAGATGACATCTCCATCGGTTCCACGGAAATTGTGCTTCCTGAGGAAAGGCCGCACGCTCCGCGTCGTCACTCCTCAATTTGAAGAACTGGTACAGGCAGCACTGGGGGGAAGAATCTAACAAAGCATGTGTGTACGCCCCAGATGGAGGACTGGGAACCAGTATAGCAGGATGTCTTGCACAATGCTGATCTAAGCATTCATTCAGATCACTTTCCTAAATATTGGAATGTTGATTTGTTTATCAGATGTAATTATAAACTTCTCTCTGGATAAGCGAGTGAAAAGAGTTGGCAAGTCCTTTCATTTTGAGTGAGTTCTCATTTTTAGGATGTGAAATCATCAGCTGATTGTGCAATTTTAGTTAAATATTATTCAAGGACAGTTGTCTTACAATAGTAACTTACCAATGCCTCTACTGAAGTAAGGCCAGTTTCTCGAAGATATACTGTGTGAACAGGAGGATTTAAAATTTTAAAAGTCTTTTAAATTAAACTGTAAAATCCCACTGATTTTAAAATAGTCCTTTATTCCTATCCTAATCCTTTCCCACTCCTCAGACCTAGAATTATTTTTCAGAAAAGCCAGACATTCAGAAGCTACTGGTATACTTTTTGAAGATAAATTGAAGTCATTCGTACAGTTTTTAAGATGGGAAACATACTTTCTTTTTAGCCTGTTGGAAGATACTATTTTCTTCAATTTCGGTCCACTGCATTTGTTGTTAGTCTTGTAACATACTCAGAAATACATTTGAGACTTTAAAATATTTTGACCAACGTAAAATAGGCTTTTATTTTTTGAATTAGATGTATCTTAAATAATTTTCTGGAAATATCCTTAAGTATTAGAAAAATCTTTATTGGGTGTTTAATTATTTTTTCTTTTTCTTTTTCTTCTCCTGTAGTTCTCCTGCCTTTGATAGATCGTATGGGAGATGCCAAAGACCAAGTTCGAGAGCAAGCACAGAACCTTATATTGAAATTGATGCACGAAGCAGCACCGCCCATGGTAAGATTACTTAATGTAGATTCAGACGTAGGCCTCTAGTGAGCTTTTGGCTTATGCATGGGCTTGTCTTTGAATATCTGATTGTGTTATGGCAACTGCTAATGGTGTAAATGTTAAAGATATTCTTAATGGATTGACACTGATGCCTTATTCACCTGAAGATAAAAATCTGGCACTGTGCAGTTCTCCGATTTTTGCATATTGTAGCTAACTTCTGAGTAGATGTTTTCATGTCACGTGGCAGGACTTCGTTAATTAACGCATGTTTGAAGCATTCTTCTGGGTTTGAGTTTGCGTAATGGGAATAAATAAGTTTATTCAGCTCCAAATTTATTTTAAAATTAGCTTTGTATTTGAACATGTAGGAGTACTCCCGCAGTTGAGATGGTGATTCTAACTTAGAAAAATATGGCTTTCTAGATGTATGATGAACCTTGGACAAACTGAGGCGGGGATAAGTTGCCCTCTGACTTGTCATCTTAGGTTGAAGTTTGAGTGGAGCAAACCTTTTTACAGCTCTTAGCATTGCGTGGCTTCCGAATGATAAATCTTGAATTTCTACTCTGTGAGTCTGAAAATGTAGGACTGTTTAACAGGATTATATTGTTTGAGCAACGAAGTTATTTGGAACTCTGGGGACCCTGCTTGTCAGTAGGAACTTATTATCTGAGTTTGTAATTTCTGAAGAAAACCCGTTTCTGAGTTTTAAGTGCAGAAGTCAATAGGGAGTGTCTTGATTTTTCTGTGAATTAAGATGAGGTTCTTTTGTGTGCGAATTTCTGGCTTTGTTTATTCATAGATGTAGGTTTGAGTGTTTGTGTGCAGGGAATAAGATTTTGCAGTAAGAAAATTGTTCTCAATTGCTTTGTTTGCCTGGTAGGGAAAACAGGTAGCACATTAGGCAGCTCTGGAAACATATTTATCTCCGTTCCAACATAAGGCATTTTCGCACGTGATTTGGTCACGGATCTGTCTGGGATTTAGGCATCAGAGTCCAGTGGTGTTACCCACTAAGGCATGCCTTTACCTCTTCATGAGATCTGGTTTTGATTGTGTTGACAAAGAGACATCTCTTTGGAAGAACTGGGTCTAATAATTTTTGGAGGATAAGTCCTGTGAGTTTCTTTCCAATCAATTTATCTTGTCTGTTCTAGTGCATTGTTGGATAATATTTAATTTGTCCTGTTGTCAATTCCCTTTTCGTGTTTTAAATGTGTTGGGGTTTTTTAAAGTTTGATTGTTTTGGGCTTTTTTAATGAGCAAGAACTAGATCTAGCTGGTTGTGGACAGGAAAGCATAAAAGTAAGAATACAGGTGGTATAAATGCATGAATGGGACAAAGGGAGGTTGACACCAACTGTTGCTAGCAAGTCATGAGAGTTGAAATTTCTAAGCAGCCATGTGAATTTCTCTGTTTAGAAGAATTCAGTTCTTTAAGTAGGGTTAATTTAGTGAAAGACTAAATTTCTCTTCAGTCTGCTTTGTTTGTTTCAGTACTGTAGAGTTAGTTACCTTTCTACCTGCTTTTTTGGTACACCTAGCAATTCCTTTTTTCCATGTTTTTCCAGGACAGCAGGTTAGTTGGAAGGATGTTTTCTGCTGTAAAATCCTGTTCTTTGTTGTTGAGCTGTGTAGGTTTGGCAAGCCATATCCTGCTTGTCTGAGATTCATTTTCTCTAAATGTAACACAGTATAAAACAAACAAACACAAAACCCCAGATGAAACAAAATGATCAAGCACGGCTCTAATTGGAAAATTTTACATCTGCTATGAAGCGTGCTACCTCATTAATAAAGAAGGTGCAGTATTGCCTGCTCAGTAGCTGTTTGTAAGGGGTTCTTTTTTGGAAACCTGAATACGATTGTAATAATTTGTATCTGACACATTTTAGCAGATTTGTAGGGTGTCATTCTACCTCTTCGGGGGTTAGGAATGAGGGTGGTGGCCAGGCTGCAAAACGTGCTCTTGTCAGTGTGCAGCCATCACTAGGCAACGCTCCCCGCGGATGCCAGCTGGGGCTGTAATGGCAGCGCTGCAGCTGGAGCCTGTGCATCTGCTCCCAAATCCCACCGAGAATCCCAGGGCTCGTAAACTTCACGGTGACGCTTTTTACACTGTAACGTACAGCTAGAGAACGACAAGGAGATGGCAAGGTAAAAAAAAAAAAAAAAAAGATAAACTGCGGGGGGAAAGGGAGAAGGCAGGCAATGAAAAATGAGTGCGCAAGAAGGTAAAGGAGGGGTTAGCGAGCTGGAAAATCAGACTACGGGAAGCGGCACCAGCACAAAAGGAGAAATGAAAGCAGAACAAGAAGGGGAAGCTAAGGAGTTAGAATGAATAGGCAAGAAATAGTGGAAATATGAAGACATGCATTTAAAGCAAAAGTAGGAGAGAAGTGGAGAGCAAGGGGTATGGATAAGGACGAGCTAAAATGGATGAGAGGAAATTTTGGCAGGGAGACAGAATATGAAGCAGAAAGAATATAGCAGCTTCTGCTTGAGTCAGTAGTTTGTAATGTTAATGTTTGTGTTGTGTGTGTTCACTGTAACGATTCTGTATGTTTTTAAGAGGTGTTTATCAAGCAATAAAAATACTTAGCTAGATTTCTGAAGGATATTCTTTAGAAATTGCTTCTGGCATAGTAATAATCTGTGCTGTGTTCCATAGTGAGCATCTTATAACTAACTTTTGTCTGAGAAGGGCTTTTACTTTTCCAGTGAACCTGTCTTCTGTTATTTTTTTGCTACTGTTATGAATGTAATTAGAATATATGCATAGAACTAGGTTGTATTGTGCTCCTGGTAATCAAAGACAATTATTTCTGTTTTTATAGTACATTTGGGAACGCCTTGCTGTTGGTTTTAAACACAAGAATTACCGATCCCGAGAAGGAGTGTGTTTGTGTCTCATTGCTACCTTAAACATGTAAGCTTTTTGTTTCTATGGAGGCATAGGGGTTCTATCCTTCCAAATGTAATTTTTCTCTGAAATTAATACTTTAGGAAATCTGATTCAATTAAATTAATAGAGGAAATCAAACAACTTTACTTGTGACCTTTCTGAAAGAAAGACTAAAGGTATAGATAGTAGTTTTGTCTTATTTAAAAGTAGACAAAGGACTAGTGAGGGAGAGACAGAGCTTGATTCATCTGAGTTTGTATTTAATCAATGCTAAGCTAAAAGTTCACTTGTGCGTAAAGTATTTTCTGTTTTCTGCAAAAAAAATACATTTAACTTTTTTTTTTTTTTTTAGTTATGGTGCACAACCATTAGTCCTCAGCAAGTTGGTACCACATCTGTGCACAGCGTTTGGTGACTCGAATAGTCAGGTATGGATTTCATTACTTACTAGTGCTTCAATAACTATACTTTGACAGAAGAATGAAAGCAAATTAAATGTAGGCATTTAAGAAAAGCCAATGCGCTTGCTTGTGTACAACAGATTATTATTTTCTAGCATGAGAAACAATAAACCCATTTTCTTCTGAATCGGCCCATCCATTGAAAGATGAAAGTAGAGTTGCAAAGGCAGCAGTGTTGTGATTTACTGGCCCCTGTAGTTTTGTCTTCAAAGGCTAAAACTAGTCATTACTGAAAGTAGTTGTTTCTTATAGAGCATTCTGAAAGAAGAGGGGGAAAAAAAAATGTATTGACAGGAAGAATTGCTTCCAAATGGAGCTCTTACATGAGACCTGTAATAATGTGCCAAATTTGGTAAAGATAACATTGTCATGTACAGGACAGGTAATAATTTCCTAAATAGAACCCAAATGGCGTTTGAGCACATGGAAGGACTGTAGTTAAAAACAGTTAATTAAGCAAAAACAACTGCAGTGAAAATCAAGATGTAGTTCACAATAGGGACATTTGAACTTCAGAAAACCTTCAAATGGAAATGGATAAGATCTCTATTTATCTAAAGTTGTGTCTGAGAGAAGAGACTAAGAATACAGTAAGGAAGAAGGTAGTGTTAGTAGAAGATGGGCAAATAAACAGGAGAGGTCTTTATGCTTATTTTCTGGGTGCAGCAAAGTTCTTGTCTCCTCTGTATAATATAGCATTGCACTATTCTAGTGAAAATCTTTTAAGAATTTGTCTTGTTTGTTGTTCATTAGTAAAGATGTAGTTTATCTCTTGATAGAGGAATTGTGGGTTTAGTTCGAACTATTACAAAGAACAATGCTAAAGTCATTCCAGTAATTCTTTGTAGAGAATAACAGCATTTACTAACATGCATTTTTGTGAGTTTTTTATTGTGATGACTATGGTGTAGATTTTTTTAAAGAGGCACTCGGTCTCCTTCCTTTAACTGTTTCCGCTTCCCTTATCTCGTCTTACTCCCTTTATTGTACTTACATGATGCCATGTAATTCCTGTTGAAGGAAGTAAAGAAAACACTGATCACTTTGGCCCACTCTTGTGGGCAGTCAGGTTCTTAGTTTTCCAGAAGGGCTTCGCTGCATGTAGGAACAGATGAAAGCAAGGGAAGTGTTAAGATTGAGCGCAGGGACTAACTTTTGGAAGTATTGCTTAATGTGATAGAATCATAAATAAAGCAGTTTTTTTTTCCACAAATATTATTCTTATGTCAATCCCGGAAATTCCCACTAGAGCTGTTATTTCTAGGATTTTTCATTTACCATCTGGAGATGCTCTAACTTGGAACAAATACCTTACTGAAATCACAATTGTGTTTCCTTTCCCTTCCATTCTCACTGTTTCAACTGTTCTGTGAAATGAGTTGGCATGGAGGTCAGTAGTAACAGGAAGATTAGTGGGTTGTCATCAAATGTTTTGGTTTCTGTAACCCTGAAATATACAATTTAATCTCTGTGTTCACAGGTGAGAGATGCTGCCATACTAGCCATTGTAGAAGTTTATAGACATGTGGGAGAGAAAGTCCGACTAGATCTTACGAAGAGAGGAATTCCTCCTGGAAGGTGAGTTAGCTGTTCTAATTTTCTGATCCTGAGCCATTCTGTGTTACCGTTCTTTACCAGAACTTTAAATGCACTAAAAACATTTCTTTAAAATTGTTACAGTTTTTATTTTATCTTCTGGTTAGTTTTGCTTCTACCATAATGTTAACCAGTGTTCCTGACTTTCTTTTGCTGTTGTTTTTTCTGCTTGGAAGAGGCATACAGGTGTACGATGAAAAGCAGCCTCACATTCACCAGTTAAAATCCCCTGGCTTGGTATGCTTGTACCATTTGCATTCACATCAAGAAGCAAGGCTCTACTTGGTGCATGTTAAGCAGCTTGTTGCCACTGAATCTCTACAGTTTTGCACAGTCAAGGCTAGTGTAAAATAATACATGAGCTGGATCTCAACGCTGTGTCCTCTGCAGCAATTTTCAGGTTGGGATGAAGGGAGGAGTTCCGATTTATTTGAGTTGAGCGTGAGGCTGCTAGTCTCTGTCCCATCCATCGCAGACAGAAAGCAGAGTTCCTGTAGTCTCTTCTTACTCCTTCACACAAGTAATGAGGGGGTTGACAAAGCTTGGGAAAGATAGATTAGTGCTACGGTAGCTTAGACTGTTGTTCCTTCAGAGACAGAGCTAATTTGAGACGTTTCTTCCCCAGTGCCTGTCAAAAGTTTTCCCTTCACTTAAATGCTTTAAAATGTTCATGTGATTATGGAGAAGCTATGATCTGTGGAAAAAAACCCTTTGATGTAGAGTATCACTTTATTGTTGTTTTGAGAGGAATCTTATGTTTTCATTTGTGTGTCTGGGTAGGTTTTATAGGTTTTAAGTATTATGGATAATCTGTGGTTCAGACACAACTGCTTTCGGTTGTTGAGCTCAGCCTTAAAGAACCGAACTGCAGCTCCTTCACTGGATGACAGCACATTTCATTAAAAATTGTCTGTAAACATAAATATTATTAGAAACCCCCTTTACTTCAATTTGATGCACACCTCATTTAAGAGAATGTAGACTCGTTTAGTTTCCATAACAATTACACATTAGAGATCTGTGTGTTGCTGCTTCAATGCACTCTGCCCTAAAGGACTGACAGTAAGAGCTCACATCTGCTGAAAGGAAGGCAGGAAAGTTAATCAAACATTATTTTGAGAAATCTCTCAACTTCTTTAAATATGCAAATGGTATATACATGTTGTGTCTACATAAAGACAAATGAAGTTAGTAATTTAATAATAATAGGCTTAAAAGGTTTGGTAATGTGCACCTGGTAAGTTTTCCTCTGTGGAAGATACTGGGTTTTCTAGAGAGGGTTATTGGACCTGTTGGAGTCTAAGTAGTTGATAAAGAAGACGGGGTCTTACTTTTGTAGTTAGCTCTACTTGCTGCTGCTGTATTGTTCTTCAGTGCATTTTTATTCTTTACAGAGGTTAATTTGTGAGTTTGTTTATAAATACATTCAGTGAGTTCCTCTATTTGTTATTTTTGATCTTAAAAATCTCAGAATAATATTGTGCGTTTGCCTGAAGCACATTCCTTTTCTAGAAGAAATCAGTATCAAGTCAGTGGTTTGAAACCTCGATGTTGTTTTCCTTGTATTAAAGTTGCTGCCAAAGAGGTTTGACAGTCTTTGGTATGGGGCCTGTAAGTATTAGTTAGTGTTCATGCATTTGTGAATACTGAAAGTAGATGTTATATTTCTTGTTCTGTGAGCCAAGAATAGTGAATGGGTTTTGTCTACATGGGCCAAGTTGAACTTGTTACAGTATGGAATCTGTGTGGCTGATCTTCCCTGACTGTAAATAGTGTATGTGGCTCTGGATAGCAGCTGCTTAGTCTGAGTGGTAAAAGCTTTTTAAGATCTTTCAGGAAGTCATCTGACAACTTTTCCCACTGTTACTTGAGAAACATAAATGTATAAAACCAGTTATTTGTTTAGTTTTTATGTCTAGGGCCACAACTTCACATCCTGAAACGTTAAAGCATTTTGCAGGCTGCATTTCTGAACACCGCATTTTATGTGGTATGCACTTTTTCTACTTATCTGTCTAGTTCGTGTTGGAGATGAGGTCCATCTGTGTGTCCAGATGTGGCCACGTGTCTGTGCAGGATGCATTGGGGTGGTTGTTTTTTTGGAAGAGGGAAGCAAGGGGAAGTAAGCGCAAGGTTTCATATGGGCCGTTTCCTGCTTTAGACTCACTTTGGTCGTGAAGAACAGACTAGTTACCACTCTTTCTTCTTCTTTGTCCTCCTGCTGTTGACAGGGGAGTAGCGGGTTTTTGCCTCTTCATCACAAGGTCCAAACTTTTAGGTATCTCCCTCTGCCTGTCATGCAAATGGTTGAACTGCATCAAGCGTGGCCATGAATAACAGCTTTTCAGTCTAGAAGTGCAGCCCGTTCTTTGCTAGCATCTGTGTTTCTGTGTGTGTGCGTGTCAGCTCACGCTGTGTCTCAGAAGGATATGTGCCCCTCTCATTGAACATAATCACCATAGCATGGTAACCCTTTGATAGAGACCTGCCGTAGGAGAAGGTTTTGCAGGTTGCCTTGAGCCCCCGTTTAAAGTGCTCCAACCTCATACGTTCATCCATTCATTCACTGAGGCAGCAGCCATCGTCCAGCCCGTGCAGAACTGTCCTGAACATGTGTTTTTCATCAAGGGGGATTTTTTCCTTCCACATGTGAAGTAGAAGACCCATCTGTGCCTTTCTGGAGAAAGAAGATATTTCTACTCACTGGTGACACAGTGTTTCTGTTGACTGATTACTTTACTGATGGATTATGCGTGTCATATCCAGATTTGGGCTTGCAGCTGTGAGATAAAGGAGTAACAACGCTGCTCTTCTCAAAGAATCTACCTCATTGCTGATGACTGTGAAACTACTCTTTACCCACCCCTGTAAACATTCTTGGATTCCTCTTGGCCAGGCTCTCTTTTGCCAAGAGCTGAACTCCTGTAAACCTTCTTAGATTGATTGCGGTTGCCATTAATTTGAGAGACCTTAGCCCATACTGCCTTGCTACCTGTGGCTGTGTGAAGAGGTATGAGATGAGAAGATAGTAGCATGAAGATTTGGGTGGGAATAGAGGGAGGAAAAACTTGGGAGAGTCTTTGCAAAGTAGTAGTTACAGTTCCTGGAAGCTGTACTAAAGAGAGGGTTGGATCTACATGACTATTTTGTCAGTTTTTACTGGAATTTTTTTTTTTTTTTGTAATTATGACAAAATACTATAGAGTGTGCCTCTGGTCATAAATGCATGTTCTGAAAGCTTTAGGAGTGGCAGTACTGCGTTGCTCTGCAGTCTGAACCACTGAATACATAGCATCCAGCCCTGACAAACACATTTTTAAGTGTTCATAGTTAGTACTTTATCAGATATTTTGCCCAGAGTGAGAGGCAACATGTGTATTATTATAACGTATTTATAAGGAAGCATTTTATTTTTCCTTTCTGTTAAAAACACTCAGGAAAGCATTTTTGAAAGCTAAGTTCAAAAGAGCAGGAAATAATTATTTTTCTTTTGAATTCTCTAAAATATGTGTGCCAAATGCATAACATCAGCCTACCAGGATATAAAAATTAAAGTGAAATTTTAAAGGAAATCTGTTAATCCCTCTAGTTGTCCATGTTCGATTTCTACCAGGATAACAGTGTCAGCCTTTTGGATGTAGTTTTAAGTCCTCCTCATTAACCTGGCGAACTATTAATACATAGTAAAAATACTTCCTATAGTACGTATGAAGCAAATGCATTAACTTCCTTTTAGGAAAGCAAGATAACACATTGCTGTGTGTATTGATTCTTGTGTGAACTTTCCACTTTGTGCATTTGAAAGCACATGGCACGTTAATGGGATTCCATGTGATGTTAGTAAATGCCAGTACCCGAAAAGCATTTCGTATAATAACTGAAGTTTTATTTGTTCAAGTCAAAGTGAGAAAAAAAAAAAGGGGTATAAATTGCCTTTGGTTTGCAAACTGACCTTTTCATTAAAAGACTGGGGTCTAATATTAAAGTCATGTAGTCTGACATTTGTGAATTTCTGAATTTGTGAATTTTGCTGGGGCTGCAATGGCTATAAATGCAATGGTGGAGCAAATTTTGGGAGAGGATAATAGGTTCCAGAGGGAAGACTGACAAGTACGTTAGGGGAAGATTATGTAAACTACTACTGAGCTATGTATAGTTTTTAGATAAGTTGAGATGGTAGAAAAACTGCTGGTTTGTGTTATGGGTTATTGAATTAAACGATTAAGGGTTTTTTGGGGTTGTTTTTGGTTTTTTTTAGATGCTTGCAGTGGGGCCAGCCTTTTTGTGGAATTCTCAGCTAAATCTGAGGAGGAGTTCTTGCTCTGTACAAATTTGCTCTGTACCAGATTGCTTCGAAGTATTTAGAAAGTAAAAATAATGCATTGTGAGAGTCCTAAACCATTGGAAAGTGTGAGGAAAGGCTCAGGCTTTTTGTACTGTTGTCTGGCTGTGTTTCATCCCATTCTTCATTATGAGATGAATGAGGTGCCAGTGAATGAAAGGGACATGTAGTGTGTCAGAGAAGGTACAGCCTCTTTGCATGGATCACGGAGTAAAAGTGGTGCGTGTGTAAAGAAATGTATAAGTTATGTCTTTGTACGTCCTTGAGTTTGCTCCTTTAGGTATTGTGAGAATTTTTGTACCCAAGCACTGTTCTTATCCATTTTTCTTGGTTTGTCTTAATATAGTTTTGACCGTGAGTTGAAAGCAGCCTTTCAATATTTGCTCTATTATAGTGAGAGTTTACATTAGCGTGGTGTGTGTTGAACGTAACTGAAGTGTTAAGCATACCTTAAGTTCAGAAAAAAGTATATACCTTTTTTCCTTTTTTTTTTTTTCCTGTGAAAGTGCTAACTACTACAAAAGTATTTTCATAACAAAACTGAGGAAATTCTGAGGAACAACAATTTAGAGGAAAAGTAGTAATTGTCTCAAAACAAATTAAATAGTAATCCCTATTTTTCCCCACATGAACATAGTTCCAATTGTTGCCTTTTAGTGTTGTGTATAAACAGAGTAATATCACAGTCATCTGAACCCAATATATACTATTACTGAACCTGAACTTTAGTTTTTTGTTGTTTTTAATGATGCCAATAATGATGCTCAGTTTTGTTCTTTGCTAAGTTGACTCAGTTTTCTGTGCGTTTATGTGAAGATGCTCAACTAATTTAAGAGGAGAATTGCTTCTAAATACTCTTACCGGTTGTATATTCTGTATTACTGCTTGAAATATGACCATAAACTGATTTCTGTTTTTACTAGTAACCTGGGGGACTTCAGAACTGTAAAAATATTTTTGTTGTGGTTCTTTACAGGTTGCAAACAATATTTGCAAGATTTGATGAAGTAAGAAACTCTGGAAATATGATTTTAAGTAGCATCAGTGGTGAGTATGAAAGATCATGTATTTATAATCAGTGTTAAATTAATGCAAGATAAATATTTAAATGCCAACATTATCAATGTGAGATGAATGAGTGGAAATACGTTAGTGCTCAGAAAATGAGACATCTAGTGAAACAAATTTATCCTGTGTTACTGAAAGTCTTTTCTGGACTGCAATCAGAATACAATGGGAAAAGGTGTTGAAACTGCATGGGAACAAGCTGTGAATCTTTAACAAGTTATAGTATGTGCTCTGTAGAGGTTACAAGAATACTGCAAAGTATTCAGGCCTGGGGAAAAAAATCAAAGGAACCTTTATCGTATCTTACAGCATGTTTCTAAAAGAAAATGGTAATTTAGTCATGAATGTGTTTGATTTCTTCTCATTTAAAACGATGAATAATGATTATAATACATGGAGCTTTAAATTATAGAAATAGGTGACTGCAACATTCAAAGACACTTAAATGTCGAAGTTAAGTCTTTACTGTACTGAGTTTGAGCTCTTTATTTTTGGTGTATTTCATAAAGAGAAAACCTGTTGTGCAGAGAATCCTTGTTGCTTCTTATTGCATTCTTGATATAGAATTTTATAGTGTGAAAGAGTAAAGCCATAATTCTTTCTTTATTAAATAGTTTAAGGAAAAAAACCTGTTACATAACAGGACAACAAAGGATGTGTTGTGGCAGTGGCTTTGATATAGTTGTTTTTGAAAGCTTCATTGTCTGTCTTCTGCAAGGAGTCAATACATGATGTTTTATAGGGGTGGGTTCTCTGATGTTCGTTTTCCTTTTAAAGCAGCTATGCTAACTGAAAAGGAGTCTCTGCTAGATCTAAACAGTGTAGTTATGCCAGAGTAGAAATATTTTGAGGAATGCATATGATTTGTTAATGTACTCAAATATACCTTTTCATTTTAAATATTCTCACCCTTTCCTTGTTAGTGTGAAAACAGAAGAGACTGTAGGTTCAAAGGAATGTGTTTTTACAACCTTTTCTTTGAGGTAGTAGGAGTTTCTCTGCTGCGTTCTGCTTTGAAATAAACATTGCTATCCTTGAACACTTAAAGCATACAGAAATAGATCTGTAAGGATTAATATTACCAAAAAAACCCCAAAGAAAACATGCTAATTTGTGGGAAAAGTGTTTTACATAAATGTTCTGTTAGATTGTAAGTTTGCTCATTGTGGAAGGGTAAACCATTATCCTTTGCACTTAAAGTTAATACTGCTTGAATAAGTTTGAGAGGTTCAAAGATGCATTTTATATGTATTTTTTTCTGATGATGATTTTCTCTCATGAGGCTGGAGATAGTTACACGAGGGAATATAAATGCATTGAAATAATTTAAATATATCTGAAAATACAAATACAAGATTGCTGGACTAGTTTACGTAGCCTTTTTGAGCTTTTTGTCTCTATTTTAAGAGAGTTGACTAAGTTTATTTTTCTTTAAGCCATTTTTATCTCATCTGTAAAATGCAGATAGTAATGCTGACCATGGTTTTTGTCTTGTAGGTGGCAATTTCTGTGCAAAAGTTACTGTGATTCTGTTTTGGTACCATAGAGGCAGAATCTCTCTAATACATTGGTTTGAGTATTTTTGCTTGAACCTAGTTTATCTGTTGCATCCCTCTAGACAATTTTTTTAACATTATTGAAAAGATATCTTCCATTGAAAGTGCTTTATCTTGGCTTTGTCTTTCATTATTCTCTGAAGAACAATTTGTATTCACTGCTTGCACATGTAGATTGAAAGTTAGTGTTGAATTCCTGTAGCCTTGTTACCAACTTTTCTTCTAGGAGTGTTATCAAACATCTCTGGATAAAGGCCAGATTTTAATGTCTAAATACATCTGTTACAGTGTTGAGGATTTTTTTTTTTTTTGTGCTTTGGATATTTTGGAGTAGGGTTTGGGAAGGTAGGGGGGAAATGGGGGCGGGGCAGAAAACTTTTTTTAATGTCGTTAGACTGGTGCAGCTCTGTCGTGGACCTTTTCACCAGCAAAAGGAACGGCTTTTTGCCAGATGGGAGTTACTTTCCCAAATTAGTAAACTGTACTGATGAGTGTTCTCTTCTGTGTGTGATGCCTGGGAAAGGGCTTGCGAATACAGCTGTGGAAGATGGCAGCTTCTTAGTCCTGAGCGACACTGCTGTGGTAGGAAATCTTTGTTGCATTGACCTAGTTTCTGAGAATCCGGAGATGTGACTTAGGACTCTTTTATCAAGTAATACTAATGTCAGTTGTTCAGTCTCTTTATTCATCATGTACTTAGGAGAGGGAAAAAAAGAAAAAGAATAAACCCCTCAAAACTCGCAGCTTTAAACAATGTGAATACAATAATGTTTTCCATAGTATTTTAATAATCCAAACAATTATATATTTAAAAACTAATGTTTGTACTAACAGGATTTAACACATGACAGGTTTTAAAAGCATTGTATTGGTATGCTTACGTATGTGGGAGAAATACAGGGAGGAGAGGAAAATATACCTGCAGACTTATGCACACTGTTAGATTTAATATCTTGTTATCCCTGTTAGGGTGGACGTAGTGTGAACAGTCCCCTTCGTCTGGAGTTCCTATCTTCCTTTATTGAGTCTGATCTGTGATGAAAGCATAAAGAGGAGGAGGGCAACCTTACATTCATAATGGTGTTGCATCTTAAGAGAACCATATCGGGACGTTTGCGTGTTAAGCAAGATCTTACACGTGCTGCTAGTTTTGCCCTTTCGCTCCACCAGAAATATGTGTATCCCTGCAAACTGGAGAGGGTTCTTTAAAGCACCTCCCCATTTTTCAGCAAATTAATGTTCATTTCTATGGAAACAGAACTGGCAGCCAATCTCGAAGCTGCAAAAGCACTTGTTTCTGCTGCCTGGGATTTGTAAACACAGTTTTCTCTAAGGGAATTTAAACAGACTCATATCGGGTAGTAGTATAAATTTTGAGACAGGAAATTAAAAGAAAACTAAGGAAAACGATAATATGCAGCTCTATACTTTTCCTCGTTCAGCAGACAGAATGATTTGAGCTGAATGTAAATTTTACATCTCTACTCAACCTGTGCAGTTTTCCCATTTCAGTGGTATGCCTCATAGTGTTAGCTTTACAAACATCAAATTTGATGTTAGCATCACCGTTGTGGAGGAGCTGTGTGATGGGTGATAGAGATGCAGTTAAGCGTTCTCCTAAAAAAAAAAAAAAAAGGCAAAAATCCATAACACAAATGTGTATCTGTTTTTCCACATTATGCTCTTGTTTTTTATTTCCCTTTGCTGTTTTCTTTTTGGAAATAGTTACTATGGAGACAGTGACGACATGCTGAGAGAGCTCACCAGTGTGGCACAGGATGAATGGATATAGTTGGGGAAATATGGAAACTGGTGATAGCTGCGATGATTACTTTATAAAGCTTGGCTTGCTCAATGCGAATGGTCAGAATGCAGCCGCATTATTTTAAATTATTTTAAAATTTATTTTTTAAATTTATT